CCGTGGAAAAATATGTCTCTAGAGGAGATAGATTCCCTTTCAAACCAACAGGGAAACATAAAGCATACTCTTAAGCAAATGGAAGTCTTGCATCCTTCGGAGATATTCACAGGAAACCCCTGAGGCCGGCAGGAAACCGCCGGATTCGTGGAAGGGCATCGTTTCGCTCAGGCCCGTTTTGAGCTCGAGGCATCCCGCGGGAAGGTGTGAGGAATCCCACCGGGATCCTTCACGATAGAAACTCATCGCTTGGATGTGTGTTGCCAAGTCTTTTTGGTCAGCCACTCGGTGGTTAGCCCCTCGAATAACAAGGTTAACACCAGGGGAACGAACAAAAAGTGGGTGATCACCTCGGGGACCGGGGCTCGCAACTTCCGAACTTGGCAGATCGTAGAGGGCATCCTTCACTGGATCCGCCCCATCCTTCACCCGTTTAGTTGCTTTCTCAGCCTGCGTCAGCTTTTCCACGGAACCCGCCCACTGCTCCTCCTTGCCTCACAGAGCGACTGACAAGTTGTGTGCAAAAACAGGCACTGCAACACCTGCACTTCGTCGGTCAACGTTCATGTTGGACGGGGGCAAAGGCACAAAATGGGACCAACCGCTGGCTCAGTTCCAAAGAAGCAACCGACATCTACTTGTTCCCCAAAAAGGACATGGACGAATTGATAAGATTCCGGCCTGACTTTTTGTTGAAGTTCTTTAGAGAATCCCATGTCCTTCCCACTGACACAAACAACGTCCAACTTCAAGTTGGCTTCCAATATGCGGAAACCCTTGTGCCTTTGGCATCCACATGCTTCCCCGTGGAACAACTACTTCAGCTTTGGCAAAGAGAGCACCGGAATGAAGCGCCAAGCACACGCCGAAGTGGTCAAGTTGACGAGTGCTCCAGCGGCCGCGGCAACCGGCAACCGGCAAAGCCGCCAACCCACCTGCCTCGCCATGTTTTTTTTTGCGAGAGACCCCTGAAGCACAGCAAACTCTGTGCTCCTTGTAGTATTCAACCACATATTCCCAAGAAACACTCACTCCTGGAAGACACCAGCTGGAAATCTGACAAGAGGCGAGCCAAACCGGTTGATCAACATTGGAAACGCAACCAGCAAAGGGACAATGGAAATACAAATTCCAATCAACCAACTAACCAGCCACCCAATTCCTGGATCTCCCGACCACCCAACCCACCCAGCCGCCCACTCGCCCACCCCAACCGACCGACCAACCAACCAACTAGAAGACCAACCGACAAACAGGCCAGGTAGGCAGGCAAGCAATCAAGCGAGCAAACAAGCGGCAAACAAACCACATCAAACCCAACCACACACACATACAGAAAACAAAAAAAAGGCATCAAAGCAATCCAACGAGCAAGTTCAAGTTTGCCAAGCAAGCTCTTTCCGCAAGGAAACAAAGAAACAAGCCAACGAGCCAGCAAAAGCAGCCAACATCTTCTTCAATTTGATTAAGACCCCTGGAAAAAACAAAATATATTTCCAGTAGTGATAGATTCCCTTTAAAACGCTAGCAAAAGCAGCCAACAACTTTGCACTGAGGCTCTTTCCTCATTTCACGTTTCCAGGCTGTCCTCAGATCCCCCGCTAAAAGTTTAACTTTTGGTGGACTAAATGGCCAAAGAAGCTAAGTTGAACCGGATGGCTGGAGCCGCCAAGGATTGAACCGTCCGCCCCCTTGAGACACTCGACCTAGGCTCAGCAGTAGCTCATAGAGGGCCCCTTGGTCCTGGCAGAAACAAGTTGCAGAGCTGAAAGGTGGAAAGCATAGGCCCGCGCGCGCATAGGCGGCCTTCTGGAAAAATAGATGGCCCTGGTATATGGTTCACAAAACTCATCTAAACCCAGTGGAACCCATCTATTTCTATCCAAACTCACCGATCAAAAGGACGCCTATGTCAGGGTCTATGTGTGGCCCAAGGATTCTTCTTGGCGAATTGGCAGCCTGGCAAGGTCCCATGGGTTGCAACCCCCTGGCAGGATGCATCTCCACCGGCGTAGCGTAGGTCCTTTTTTTAGGCAACAAGAACACCCGGGCCAGGTTGCTACTGGTTCTGTTGAGCATTCATTTTCACTGGGGTGGGCAGGTTGGGCTGGACGTTGTGCTGGCTTATCTTTGCAACACCTTGTGAATGCGCCTGAGTTGCCATTTGAGTTTTCGAGTTGCTGCGTGGCTTCAAACGACTCACATCTGAACTTGCCATCACATGTCATCACTGTATACACCGAACTCTTCCGATTCCCATCATGCTTTCGTGTTTCAAACCCCGCGGTCTGGGCAACCACAAGGGTTTATTTGTCCTGCATTTTGTTGGTATGGCGTCCAGAAGCCATTTGTAGGGCGCACAATCAATCTGCGCTTCAAAACAGCAATCAAAGCCCTCCAATTGGTAGATCCTTTGGATTTCCCTTGGGTGCCCGCGCCTTTTACCGACGCGCGCTACCTCCCCAGGTCATGCATTTCGGTGCCTCCAGCGAGACACTTTGAGTAAGTTTTTTGGACCATGGAGGCCCGCTCGAGCTTTCAGCTTGCAGAGTTTCTGATCATCTAAAGCCTGTTGCTGAGTTCTGAGTTCCCTAATGTTGACCCCGAATTCATAAACCCCTGTTGATTCATATTTGGGTGTCCCTTGTTTTGGGGGTTCATCACTTTTGGAGGGGAACACCCCCATATTAATAAACAGGGGTTTACTTATCCAGGGGCAACATTAACGTTGACCCCTGAATCACAACCCCCCCGGCCTTATAGACGCTTATAGACCAAAATAGAGAAACACACGAAAAAAGAAAAGAAAAACACGCGCACACACACACACACAAAACATTTGATCTGAATTACAAAAATCATGGCCCCTACTTCTACCAATGCAAATGTTCGTCATGGTCTCAAGAGTTGCTTTTCCCAAAACCGGAAAAAGCAGCTGGCCGAAAACAACAAACTTCTCAGCATATGTTGTTTGTGTCAACACACACAAGGTTTGACAGGCTCACACTGGGTTTTCCCTCCAACAATACATACTGATCCTGGCCCTTTGCAGAGTTTCCAGGAAAAGACGGCAGTTTCCGGCCACTTTTCCGGTTGCTGTCCCATCCAAACAAGTTGAATTAGAAAATCGGAGAGGACCGGAGAGATCCTCTACAGTGGCGGGGGGGCACCCTCCTTGGGGCAACCCATTCTAGGTCCTCCAGTTTTGGAGGTTAGAATAAGGGTACCCCTTTTAGCTGTAGTCTATTTTGGTAGGGGACCCTCCCCCAGAAAAGTTGGTAAAAGGGCACCTAGCTGGGGGACCTAGCATTGCTATGAAAGCCGCATACTTTCCCAACAACCGCCAAGCCATTGAACCCAAAGGCTCCGCATGTGCCTCAGATGTTGATTTGGGGCCTGGCCTTGGCACACCCAAAAGTGACCCACAGAAGAGAAACATCCTCCCACGTTGCCATGGCAGCTGTGGGAGGTACTTGGAAGATCAATTTCCTCTTGGAGGGTCCCTCTGTCAGGTCCCTCCTCTTGGAGGGTAAACATCCAGAAAGAAAAGGTTGAGGGACGTGTTACCTGCCAAGTCGGGGGGAAAAATGAGTTGGACAGGCCAAGCGTTTTGCCTGCCAAGGTCTTCGCATAGCCGTAGGCCCTTTCCAGAAGGTCGGGCCAAAGCACGCGAGCTTTTCTCCAAAGCCACGAACACCAAGCGTCCAAGCAGTTGAATCTGCTAACTGACACTGACTTTTTTGTGAGCCCCAGTGGAACCGTCCTCATGAGTGTTCGACTGCAACTAGCTTGGGAATGCCTTTGCGCACCCCGTGCTTTGAAATAATCAAACACGCTTTCAATGTGGCACATCTTCCTCCCTGCATGAAAGCTGATGCAAGACTGGTTATCTGAAATGCGGTAAACATAGAGTGGCATATGCTCCTGTGCGTTTGACTTGGCAATGAACTCACTGTTTCCCACCTTGTCTGCGCCATACCTTCCTGGTTGTCTCATATTTTTGGGGGGCACGAGTCGCACGGCACGAGTCGCACGGCAGGAGGGCCCCTGGAAGACTATTCTCCTTTAAGAAGCACCCTCTAGGCGTTCCATGTTAGTGAACTGGAGACTAGAGCAAGTTGCTTTACTTTTGGTTTCCCTTTCGCCAGCCACTCGTCAGCTCCTCCTCCGGCAGGAGCCACCAGTCCATCAAGGCCTGCCGGTGCCCGACTATCGATTCCTCCGCTTGGAGCCGCCGAAAGCTGGCTACAAGTTGCTGGGAGATACCACCTCAAACGGATTTGGTGTTTTCCTAGGTCCTCCAGTTTTTGAGGTTAGAATAAGTTGGTACCCGAATTTTTTTTTTCTGTAGTCTATTTTAGTAGGGGAACCCTCCCAACCAAAAAAGGGGTGAGAATGGGCACTACTGGGACCTAGTTTGTCTGGATTTATAACATATGGCTACGAATTTTGATGGGTGGAACCACTTCAAAAGTGCTTGGTGGACGAGAATTCCCACCAGTTCGGGTCCCAAATAGACATTCGTACTCATATAATATTAAAACTTAGTGGAAGGGAACAAAACAACATCTCAGCTTTGTTACGGTAGATGTTAAAGGGAAACTTTCTCCAAATGGATTCCCCTTAAGTAGGAGCGCCGTTCGGGTCTTCGAAACGAACACCCAAGAACATGCCTGATGAACACCATCCATCTTCGGAAACGGGCGACGTTGTGTTTGTTTCTATTCCTACACTTGGACCTGGTGTTCCTGAGACGCGGCCATGAGCTTCCATGCGGGATTGGTGGACGCGAGGCTCCGTGCCACGTGGGGGACAAGCGCTCAGGCAATTTTATGTGACAGTCCAAACAACACCTCGTGTTGCTTCCCCTGAGCTTTCCCTTTCAAGCGGCCCACGAGCCGCTTTCGTTGTCTTGTTAAATCCGATGTGTGGAATACGGACTTCGAAGCCCCAAGATCGGTTCACCAACACGGCATGATTAGAGTTAGGCCCAGTTTGAG